TTTTTTTTTTTTTTGTGCGTGTTTTTGAAGAAGGGTTTTTAAAGAAGGAAGAGTGAAAGAGAGGTGTTCAAGAAATATCGTTTATTATTTTCAAATTAATCTCAAACAATGGTATTATCAATCGTTATTATTCATGATGCATAATGTATTTCAATTGACGTTATTTATTTGTTTAATCGAAGCAGAACGAATATTTGGAAAAATAATGAATTGGAGAACTTGACTATTATTCGATGCAACGTTTGTTTTTTAATTGAGTATTCGTTACAACATAACATTCAGAATATAGTATATATTGAACAATAAATGCAGTAATAACCGTAGTAAGCGTGTAATGTATATTAAAAAAAAAAAAAAAAATCATTTTATCTTCGTCAAAATCAAATAACGAAATAGGAAATCACAAACAATTTATCTCGTGAAATGACAAATAAATCCTTCAATTTGTATTTCGCGTGAAAATCTTTTTTCCAAAAAAATGGATTATTCTTTCTGAAATAAAAGTAATTTTAAACTTTGCTAAGACTCTCTCTCTCTCTCTCTTTCTCTCTTCGTTTCTTTCATCCGGAAACCATTAGTTGGCTCGATAAAAGGTTGCGAAACTGCCGTCAATGAACCGCCAATTTAGGTTAACTTTATGGAGATAATTGACATTAAAGGTCCGGAAAATTAAGACGTATCGAATATAAGAGAGAGCCTTCTCTGTGGGTTGTTGCTTTTCAAACTTTTCTGTTTCATTTTTCTTCTCTCTCTTCTTTTTTTTTTTTTTATCTTAACAAGATTCACGTTGGTAGCATCGATTATGATTGGCACGATTTCACAATTTTCTTACGTCTTCTTTTCGATGTAAATTGTTCTTCTAATAATACATCGAAAATATTTCATCATTTTTTTTTCTCGTATATTCGATAACGTTAAGTCTAGGAATTAAGTAATACGGTTGATTGGAGGAACTCGAAGATTTCACAACGAAAAACTTCCGCGCTATATATTATTTCAGACCTTTGATAATAGAGCCGAGCAGAGAGTCTTTTCTAGAATCGTAAAGTTTGATCAACGCTTTGCTATACGAGATTTTTGGCACGGCCTGATCTGATCTGATCTGTCGTTCTAGGTTGCCATGTAAACGACGAGGAGCGTTGCTCCATTTGTTTTCCACTGGATTAAAATAATCCCGAATGGGAGGGCCAGCCAAAAGGTGTCTGACCATTGAACGCCCAATTCCACTTGATCCCTGCTGCAACATAGGAATTGGCGCAATTTTAAACGAATAAAAGAGAGGAGATATATTTAATAGCTTCTTGAAATTGCAGTGATAAAACAATTTTAAACGATTATAAAATTAATGTACAATGTGAGGAATTTCATGTATTATTTTATGTGTTATTCATTTCTTATTTTATTTCACACGTTTTGTATTATCTCTTATTTTTTTTTTTTTGTAGTAATCTATTTTGTAGAATTAGTAGGATTAAGACAGGTGAATTATGCAAGTTTTTGCATAACAATATATTGCAAAATAAGATAAGATTTATTTGATTGGTTCTTATAATCAGGGTAGTTCAAGATTAAAAAACTAAATGATGCACGAGTCTTGATAACATTTATGACTCTCTCAAGGATTTCCAACAAAGCTAAAAATTAAAAACGTATCTTTTAAGATAATAAACAGTGCAATTATCGATTAATTTTTTTTTTAAATTAACAAAGAAACTTCAAGAATAATTCAATTATTATTATTTTTTATTTTTACGATAAAACTTTATTCACGTATTCATTATTCTTTATCATCATATGTTCATTTGTCAATAATTTATCTAGAAAGAAATAGAGAAGATAGAAAAATAGTTAACGATCAATTCTTGGCAAATCTTAATACAGGAAAATTTAAAAACACCTTACTTTAAAAGTATTAATAGGTATCTTTTTTTAAAACTCGTACATTCTCCTTTTTTTTTTCTATTTCGAAATATACGTACAACCCACGCAAATTTTTCAAGAAGTTCTTACATTCATGCACGTAATTCCAAGCGTGTAATCTTCCCACACGCCACTCAATTCCACACGAAACTCAATTCCACACTATCAAACTAATCAAACAATTTTCCAACCAAAGCGTTATTCCCTCGAGTTATCGACTTTATTTTCAATTATTTTTTTCATTTTCGTTCATATCATCGAAAATAAATAACACAAAAACA